CTTGGCCCTGGATGGGAAGTTGGGGTGTAATAGGTGCTATGAGCAAGGGGTGAGGACACAGCAAAGGCTGGGGGCTGGCAGGCCCAGGAAATTGGGGTGGGTCATCGCCCGACACAGACTCTTGGGTGACTCAGAGGAGCTCCAGGGCCCTGAACTGAGCTGGTGTCCTGAAACTCAGGGAGCTCGGTGTTTGGGATGCAGTCGCTGTGTGTGCAGTGCTGGGGGTGGCTTTTCTGGCTGTCAGTGCAGTCACTGTGCCCATCAGTGGCCCCCACGACTGGCCTCACAGTTTGTGGCCACCCAAGTAGACTATTGGGGCCAACAGTGGGGCCGTCAACAAGTGTGTCTCTGACTCTGCACACACAGAGAGGTCAGCAGGAAGGGGGAGGCCCGACTGGGCAAGGATGAACAGTACCAGCTGCTATGTCCCCTGTGTGCAGGGAGCTTTGCACCCAGTGGCTTGTGGCCTTCACATTCCCCAGTGGTGGGGCTCTGGGTGGCAGTCATGCTGGCCACTGCTGGGCACCTCTGGGGGATGCCAGGCATGGGGCTGAGCAAGGAATATGCCTTTTCTTGCAGGGTGGCTGTGAGCTGATCTAATATCCCACTTTCACCCTCATCCTCTACATCCATCCAGTGAATGGAGTGACTCTGCCAAGGTCACGTGGCAGCAGCCTGGAGGCATCCATCTGGGGCTACCTGGTCTCAGCATCTTCTCTGTGTCCCGTGCATGCCTCCCGAACCATGTGTAAATCAATCTTAGACATCTCTTTGCTGAAATGACAAATTATTCATTTATGATGATGCAAGGATGAACAGCACAGTTGGGATTCCTGAAGTTATGTCACCTCTGCAGGGCTTGGAGATGGAGGAGGAACTGGCTCCTGGGGCAGGGGTGGGGGTAGGGTGAGCCTGGGGTCTTAGAGGGAAAACCCAGATGGTGATGTGCCTCCTGCACTCCCAAGATTGGTCCTCACAGATGGGGTGGGAGGCGACCAAGCAGAACAGTCAGCCCAGCCTGGGGGTCATCAGTGGCCTTGCGACACCCATGCCCCCAACCTTTGCCAAAGGCCCTCGTTTGCCAGGCACTGGGTGGGGCTCTGGGCATGGGCTGGCTGGCTGGAGGCCCCTGGGAGATTTTGGGGAAAGAAGAAGTCACTGTGTGTAGTCAACATTCTGGAAATGTTTGAATGGATAATGAATGAATAGATGAATGAATATGGCTCCCAACCCAGGGAAGCTAGGATGCATTCATTCATTCACAGATGACAAAAGCACAGCCTTTCAGGCCTCGAGTTGTCACCCAGGTGCTGTGAGAACATCAAAGATGTGTACCTCCTTCTCTTTTTGGGGAGGGCTTAGCAGCCATCTCCCTCTCACGTATGTCGAGCATATGTGCATTTTGTACATTCTCCTCCGTGTATCTTATACATGTAACCTGTAGATATTGTGTGTACTATTCAAATCTAAATATGTGCAAACAGTCCCTGCAGTACATACGTAAGTGTGGCGTCCACATCCTGGGCCTCCAGGGTACTCTAAATGCACACACACATATACTGCAGAGATGGAATTTGTTCATGAATGTGGGAGTGCTATGAGGATACTGTATATGCTTTTACTGTTTTGGTATAATAGGTATATATGGTATGTGTCTTGTGCCCATATGTTCCACATGCATGTGCATTTATTCAAAACAACACACACGTCTTTTTCATGAAGTTTCAAGTGTACACATGTGTATTGTGAATAGGAATCCACAGATGCCATGTCTGTGTGTTCCATACATGTATGTGTGTTCAATACAGATACTTTATGAATATTCTGTATGTAGACTTGATATGTGTAGACCTGTTTGCACGCAGTGCCCACAGTGTTGTATCATATGCAGACATGGTAAGCAGACCAGTGGAGAATACACATGGTATATCAGTTAGGGTCTTTTCAGAAAACAGTGCTCTCCAATTGAGCAATTAATTAATGGGCTATTCTTAAACTTTTCTGGAACGTGTGGGTAGGATGGAGGGAAAGCAACAAGGGAAGGTGGGGTACCCAAGGATGAGCAACAATGGAGAGCTGTCAACATGCCTGGGGAATAGTTACTGGAACTTGTAGAGAGTAGCTCTGTGTTGTGAGCCTGCTGGCAGATGCAGCTAATTGCCAAGGTCCCCATCTTCCTTCCTTCCTCTGACCTCCTACTGTGGCTGTCCATTGGATGAACTCAACTGGAAACCGAGGGCCAAGGAACACTTGATGGAGCTCATAAAGTCTCGCCTCCCAGGGGAGAGAGAGGGTCTGGAGATGGGTGTACCTAGATGGGAAAACTGAAGATATCTTGCAAGACCTTCTTTTCCCTGGAAGGCACTGCATGTTCTGCAACTTGCCTCCCAGTTTTGTAGGAATAGTCCTGTGTCCCAGACCACTGGGCCTCTAGGAAATTTATTAAAGGCCCTGAACTTTGATGGTGTTCATTTCCCACACTCTCTCACACACATGTCTCATTAAGGAATGGCATTGCTGTAATAGACCAGTGAGATATACTGTTGGGTGTCGAAATGATCAAGTTCTTTCATTCTGTAGTATGTCAGATAGCAGGAGAATTGCCATAACCCTGAGATGGGATATACAAGTGGACTGCTGTCCAGGCCACATCAAGGAAAATTGCTTCTGGTCACCTTTACTGACAGGAATGTGTGTGTGTGGGGGGATGCACCTGATGTGCAGTTTTGACCCAGAAAATGCTGTATTGGTTTCCTCCAGTAAATATATTACATCCGGAACTGTTAGCTAATATTACCACCTTATTAAGTTTCCAACTATCTACTGTTCTCCAACATCCATCTGGCTTTTGTATCAGTTTCACAGGTGAGCTATATGGAGATGTAGTGGGATTTTCATCCCTGCGTTTTGTATAAATATAAACCCACTTGTTTACCAAGATGTGCTTCATTCTTTCCTGAAGACCTGTCTCCATCTGGTATCATTTCCCTCCAGGCAGAAGAACTTCCTTTAGTAGTAATGCTGTGCAGATATGCTGGTAACAAGTTTTCTTCAATCTGAAAATGTATTTTGCCTTCATTCTTGAAGGATATTTTCTCTGGATGTACAATTCTGGGTGAACAGTCTTATTTAAAATCTCTTTAAAGATGTTATCCCACTGTTTCCTGGCCTTCATTGTTTATGATTAGAAGTCAGTTGTTTATCAAATTGTTCTTCCCTGGTAGTGATTTGTTGTTTCTCTCTGGTTGATTTCAAGATTTTCTCTCTTTGGCTTTCAGCAGTTTGACTTTGATGTGTGGTTTTCTTTGTATTTATCCTGCTTGGGATTCACTGAGCTTCTTGAATCTATAAATTTGTGTCTTTCGCCAAATTTGATTAATTTTGGCTCTTATTTCTTTAACTTTTTTGGTCTCATTCTCTCTTTTCCTTCTGGGACACCTTTTGATATTGTCCTACAGGTCTCTGAGGCTTCGTATATTTATTTGTTTTTGATCTTAATTCTTCTCTGTTCTTCAGATTGGATAATTTCTATTGATCTGTTGCTCTTCTCTTCATCTTTCTATTCTCCATTCTATCCTTCCTGGTCTGACTCCAACTTTGTCATGTAATTTACCCACTTTTGTAAGGGCTGTGGGGTTTCTGAGGGGTCACAACTCAGTGCTGGCACAGTGGGATTGAGCTCCAGAGAGGAAGAGGAGAAGGCCTCCTGGAGACAAACATGTGACATCTCTCTAGGGAGAGCTTGTCCCCCAGGGCAGGTAGGACATGGCACATATTCATGCCAAGGGAGAGACAGGCAGACAGAATGTAAGTGATGAAGCCCTGGTAGAGAGCTGTGGGCTAGAGAGGTCAGAGAAGGCTTCCTGTGGGAGACAGTGGGAGGGGTGGAGGTCTTAGGGTCTGGTAGGTCCCTACTGAGTACCAGGCCCTGGGCTAGGTGCTCTCTGATCTCAGTAGATCCACACAACAACTCCACCTGGGAAATATTATTATCCCATGGAACAGATGAAGAAACTTGGGTTGGGAGAGGTTGTCTGGGGCCCAAGATAATGCAGCTGGTTAAGTGACCGTAAGCCCATGAGTTTGTGGCTCAGGGTAACATTAGAGAAGCCTTTCTTGATGGAGCAGGATTTGAGATGTTGGAAGGCCACCTTCATCCTCCAAATTCTCAATCCAAATACTCCCCATGATCCAGATTTTTTTCTGAGCAGCATTAGTCCCAGAACTTGAACTAGAACCTACTGGGTCCTGTGTTCCTTCTACCATATTGTGCAGACCCTATCCTGGCTCTGACATTAGCATTGACCAGCTGGGTGACCCTGGCAGGTAACTTCACCTTTCTAGCACCACCTTCCTCATTTTGAATGTGAGGAAATACAGGCTCAACTTTGCATAGTTGATATAGGGGATCAGCAAAGTAATGTGCTGTGAAGTTGCATAAACAGTTTCAGAAGCACTTACAACACATGAGCTCTTTAAGGATTATTTGTTCCCTTTTTTCTGGCAAGGGCACATTCATACAGTGACACAAATTTACTCATTCCTTTAGTAAAGAAATATTTTATGTGCTAGGTGTTACTCTAGGTGTGGGGTATACAGCAGTGAACAGAACAGATAAAAATCCTTGTCCTCCTGGTGTTTATGTTCCACTCTGCAATTACCTCTCTGATTCAAACTCTCTGCTTTTAAGCCTCATTCTTGGTGGCTGAAAACTCCGAAGAAATCAAGTTACCCAGCTATTACATAACTAACTCAGTTTCCTTGTCAGTGGTGTCAGAATACTGCCTATTTTATAGGGTCATTAAGGGGTTAGAATGAGGCGGTGTATGACAAGGAATCAGCACAGAGCCTGGCATAAAGCAGTTAGCATTCTTGACTTTTCACTCTGAATGTTGATCTATGGTGGGCACATTTAATTTTCTCCCTTGGGCTTGCTACTTTTGCAATTTTCTTATTATTGAATATGTGGCTTTTCTTTTTAAAAACTTTCTATTGCTCTAAGAAAAACAGTGAAATGCTCCCAAAACTCCTCCTCTGAATTGCCCCACATGAAATGCTCCAAACCAGCCGTCCCAACTCCAAATCTCATGTGACATTTCTTCACTGGTTCTTATTGTTCTTCTCTTGCCCTCCCTCCAGGTTATGGGCTCCAAACTCCCTCCCAACTGAAATTCCCCATCCCCATCCCAACCGAAATGCCTCAAATCCCCTCACCACTGAAATGCCCCAAATCCCCCGCACCCCAAACCTCATGGGACCTCTCCTCACTCTTCTCCCTGTTTTCTCACCCCCTCCCCTCAGGTTATGGGCACGCTGCCCCTGGCACCGACGCGGGCAAGGCCTTCTGCATGTTCTATGCGGTGCTGGGCATCCCGCTGACGCTGGTCATGTTCCAGAGCCTGGGCGAGCGGATGAACACGTTCGTGCGCTACCTGCTGAAGCGCATCAAGAAGTGCTGCGGCATGCGCAACACAGAGGTGTCCATGGAGAACATGGTGACCGTGGGCTTCTTCTCCTGCATGGGAACGCTGTGCATCGGGGCTGCCGCCTTCTCCCAGTGCGAGGAGTGGAGCTTCTTCCACGCCTACTACTACTGCTTCATCACGTTGACTACCATTGGGTTCGGGGACTACGTGGCCCTGCAGACCAAGGGCGCCCTGCAAAAGAAGCCACTCTACGTGGCCTTTAGCTTTATGTATATCCTAGTGGGGCTGACAGTAATTGGGGCCTTCCTCAACCTGGTAGTCCTGAGGTTCTTGACCATGAACAGCGAGGACGAGCGGCGGGATGCTGAGGAGAGGGCGTCCCTTGCCGGAAACCGAAACAGCATGGTCATCCACATCCCCGAGGAGGCGCGGCAGGGCCGGCCCCGGTACAAGGCGGACGTGGCGGACCTGCAATCCGTGTGCTCCTGCACATGCTACCGCCCGCAGGAATACGGTGGCCGCTCGGCGGCACATCAGAACTCCTTCAGCGCCAAGCTCGCCCCGCAGTACTTCCACTCCATCTCTTACAAGATCGAAGAGATCTCACCAAGCACATTAAAAAACAGCCTCTTCCCATCCCCCATCAGCTCCATTTCTCCTGGGTTACACAGCTTTACCGACAACCATAGGCTGATGAGACGGCGAAAGTCCATTTAGGGTGTGGGGAGGGAAATACGAACAGAAAAAGTCACATTTGCCATATTTGATGTTACGTTCCATTAGCCCAACTCGTCTTTTCTTCCTTATTTATTTATTATTATTATCCTTTATTATTATTATCATTGTCATCATTATTACTTTCTCTCCTTTCTTTCTTGGTTTCATTGCTTCCCCGCCTTCCCAGCGAGACAGAGCAGGGCAAAGGGAAAAGAAAGGCCCGTCCTCTGAAACTCGCATCTGAGCATGAAGCATGGATTTCTTCCTTCCTTCCCAGCGACGTATGCCTTACATTTCTCCCCAGCCTGCCCCATCTCTGGGGTGGTTTTCCCAGGACAAGTGTGAGACCAAGATCAGGTGACAGAGCTGAGGATACCCAACCCAAAGTTGCACACCAGGCTGAGAGTTTTGAGTGCCCACCCACAGTGGTGTCTCTGACCTAACTCCTTTCTCTTTTCCTCCCAAGTAGTGGGTGGCTGTGTGTGTGTATGTGAGTGTGTGGTTTGAGTATGTGTGAATGAATTCACACGCCAGTGTGCTTGTGTATGTGTACCATGCGACAAGATGGAAAGTATCAGGTATTCATTTTCCTTTTCCATCACACAATTTTGTTAATAGCCTGCTTTTGGCTGCTTCCAAAAAAACGGGAAAACAAAACCCACGAGGTTATTGATTTATCATTTTGCCAAATCAAGCATGTTCCATAAACAGTCTTTATCCCAGATGTGTCATGATCATATTTTTAAAATGCTAGGTTCTAAATTATATTAACTTCTTTTTAGGGGGTGGGTGGGCAGGAAGACATGGATCATTTTAGCTTGTGAGTTCAAAAATTTTTAAAAAGCATGCACTTTGTTAAACTGGTATGCATTATCAACACAAGAAAACAAAACTAGCAATGGAATAATCAAAAGCCAATAATAACAATTTATTAAGACATTTTTAATTTTGTCATCTTCGGTTCCAACAATTTACCATGCAACTGGAAGTGTTAGAGGAAACTGGAAAATTGTTGGAACCACAGAGTATCTATTTTATCATTTCCCTCTTATTTAGATGAAGATGATGATGATAATGTTGATGGTGATTTGTGCAGCATCTACCTGCATGAATAGGAATTACAGTTTGGGATGCTTGGATGAGAATGGGTATTAGTAGGTGGATGTAGTTTCTTTTCCTAATAAAAAAATGACAGGGAATCCCTTGTTTAAAAAAACCGTATATATGTATTTCAAGAAAGATTGTCTCTAATTGCATTTGATTTGTAAATAAGGGAAAGTTCATGTTGGTCTCAGGAAGAGTTTAGAGGCAGGAAGATGTGTCTTGGCCTGCTGGGAACTTGTCAATCTCAGGGGACAATTTGTCTGAGTAGTGGAGAAATTCCTCCCCACTCTCACTAGGGGATGACCCAAAAGAGAAGCCCTGCTAATCTCCTGGGGGACAGTTAGGCTATACAATATGGCACATTGGAGGCCCTTTCAATGACAGAAGTAAAGGAAAGTGTGACCTCCAAATCCATGGAGGGGACTTGCATTTCCCCTGTTACCATCCCTGCAATTTCTAAAAATTATCCATCCTCCCACTCCTTTTTCATAGACTGGAAGTTCATGGCTCTTGGATGGAAATGGGCTTTGGCTGTACTGCTCAGAAGGAACCCCCAGCAGGACCTCCCAGAGTGGAGGATCCATTCCCTAGAAAGAGTAGACCTACTAGTTTTTTAAAGGAGATGGCACCCAATGCCACCAGTCCCAAGCATTTGGGCCATTGGACTGAAACACAGCACTCAAGACTCCTCTGGAAAGGCATGCTCTTTAATGTTGCATCCCGTGTTGAAAATGTTCCCTTCGCCCAGGATGCAGGGCCTGTGGAAGGAGTCTGGGAACCTCAGATTCTCTAGGCCACAGTGGACAGTTATCAGTCTTCAGAGTCTATATTGATGCATTCATTTTTAAGACTTTTTAAATTTTAGAGCTCTAAAGTCTGTCCAGAGAAGAGAAGCAGTTGCTCTTAAATTTTTTATTTTTTTCTCTTGGAAGAGATTGTTGGCTCTAGGGGGTTATAGGTGCAAAAATCCTAATGCATATTTGCAGGGTGCTTCATGCTTTGGAGGAGGCTGCTTGGAATAAGTGTGAGGTTTCTCCTGGACACCTTTGTAAGATTTGCCCTCAAATGAGGGTGTGTGAGATGATCTTTAATCTGTAAAAGAAATTGAGGCACAGAGAGGATGAGTGATTTGCTCAATGTCACACAGCTGGTCCTTGATAGAAGTGGGATAATAGTCTCAGTCTGGACCCAAAAAGTGTCCAAGAAGCTGACTCCACCATGCCATGGCATCCTAATTAAGTTCTCAGATGAAGAAACCTGCTTCTCTTTCTCCACAGGTAAATACACCAGGCCTTTGGAGTCAGAGGAACAAGAGCTCAACCCTTCATTCAGGACTGGTTCTCCCACTAAAATATCCCTGTAAAGTGATCATAAAGTGGCCTACTTCTGCTTGAATGCTTCCAGTGACAGGGTGCTCCTCCCTTCCTATGGAAATTTAGAAAACATCCCATATTCTATATTCCCACAGAGCTGACTCTTCTTTATAGGATTAAGGATTGTAGGATGAAGTCTTTTCTGTTGACTGCTGACTTAAGTATCTGAAGCAACTTGGAATTTGTCTTGGTTCTATAGCTCTTCTTTTTCTTCTCCCCTGTGCTACCAGTTTGGCCCTCTGAAGGACAACCACTGCATCTTCTCTTCCAAAGTTAAACATCCTTGTTTATACTCAAAGTGTTCATGGAGCAGACCTGAACGTGGGTTTGCTTCCCGTGTGATGTCCATCTATTCCTCAGGTCATCCATCTGTCCCCTCCCATTGTCTCTGGTAAAGGAGTTCTCTAGGTGCAACCAATGAGGTGCTCTCCTGGGGGTCTCCACGGTTCTTCTCTCTTGTTAAAACGGGACTGGGGCATTTCCATTTACAGCTTGGCCACCTGAGACTGGCTCACTCAATCAGCATTAGAGTCCTCAAAATGTCTGAGTCACCTCACTGAGCTGCCTCATTTTCAGAGGAGGAAATTGAGGTCCAGAAAGGGTGGACACGTATCTAAGTTCACAGAGCCAGAATCTAGGTCTTCCCACTTGTTTCCCCTGCTGTTTTCCTGACTGCTTTGCCATCGCTATTGGTTACACCCACCAAAGATCCCTCACTGCTGGACTTTTTAGCATCTCAGGCCCAGGTCTCTTGTTCCCCTTCTTCCAGTTAACCATGCCCATGCAGTGAGGGGAAGAAATCACACCAGGTTGTTTGGTTACAGGCTTCGACTTCTGTTAAGATGAGCTGAGGAAGAGCCGAATTCCACCAGAATCACAGGAAGTTGGCCTGCCACCCAATCCCTGGGTCAGGGACTAGAAATCAACCTGCCTCGTAGTATCTATGAGATACTCTCTATCTTAAAGAGATTCTGGACTGTCACTTGAATGTTTTCCAACTAAGAGATCTCAATCCATCCACTCAAAAACAGGAGGAAGATGGGCAGTGGTATTGATTATCCCAACAGCTCTGGGTTCCATGCTTTCTAGAGACCATCTGATTTTAATCTTCATCACACCTATCCTGGGTGGAAGGTACTGTCATGCCATTGGACTGTTAGACTCCTTTTTACATAGAAGTGAACCACCCTGTCCGGGTTTTGAGATACCTGGTTAGCCGCAGAGCTGGGATCAGATCTCTTCTTCCCATCTGCACCACTCAGTCCTGAAGCCCAGGCAGCAGCCTTTTAAGCACAGTGGGCTGCCTGGTGCTCTAAATTTAAAAGCTCTTTCTGAAGCATCTGTTGTGCTCCTGCTGTGCAGCACCGATTTGGAGGAGGAGGGTACCTGCACTTCATGCATGATCAGAGAAGATCATTTGCAGCCCAGGAATCCCCACTGGGTCCCTAGTCCTTCCAGGATAGGAAGCAAATGGACGCAGACTGCTGCCCAGGAGGCCCTCCTTTGCAGTGCTCATTAAAAACCCATCCATGAAAAGGGGAGATTGACTGCTTAATCTCAGCTCACTCATGTTCTCTGCACATGGGCCTTGATTGGGAGAACATCTGAACAGTAACTCAGCAACCCACAGATAAGCCTAGGCAGGTCATTTTTCTCAGCCTTACCGAGATCTGAAAGCCTTGTGGGTCCTGATTCCTAGTGATGATCATCAGCAGCTGGAAGCTGGAGTGTAGGGTTTAGAGGCATTTCTTGTCTGTGTGCATTGAGTTGGAGAGGGAGATAAGAGAGCAAAAATCATCAAAGAAGGAAATCACTCATCACTGAGGTTTATGGCCCCATTTCTTTATGCAATCTTCTTTTTAAATAATAGACCCTAATTAAGATACGCGTTAAGGGCATCCACAGAGGTGCGAGGTCTGAGACCTGTACTGGAAGGTGTCCATTCTATTACTGTGATGGGCGCCGCCATCTGTGAAACGCTCCAGTTGAATTGTGGCTTCGCTCTGAAAGGGGTGTGACTTGGGGCCTGTCACATGCAGGCCTACTGCCTGGGGTCTAAAGTGTGTTTCTTCGAGAGTCATGGTTTGTGTGGGACCCCGGAAGCATCCTAGGCAAGCAGAAGTTAGCGAGACAGGGACCTGGCTGACACATCCTCCTTCATTGGGCTCCTGGGAGTCATTTCACCTCCCTGGACCTCTGCAGCTTCCTCATCAACACAATAGGACAGTTTGGGCGGGATTTATGAGCATTTAGCACAAAATGAATTTGACGTTTGAAGACATTTGGCCTGGATGTTCTGGTTGCTGAGCATATTTGAAGGTTGAGCCACCAAAAGAAAACCAAAAATCATTTCGTTTGGCAGGGTACTGGGAGCTGGGAAGATGGAGAGAGAACAAGCCACGCAACCATTGCCCCGTGCATTCCGGGTTCCCAAATGCCCTGGGCATAAATCCATTTTATGTGGTTCTTTCTCAGCCACACCTTGGTAGAGGCTGCTGTTTCAGGGGAAAAAAATCTATCACCATGATTTCCTCCCCACCAACTTTCTGTTTTGAAAATTCCAGATTTACAGAAACATGGAGAGAACAGTATGATGAACTTCCATATACCTTTCACCCAGACTCAACAGCGTATAGCACTTTGCCCCATTTGCTTAATCCTCTCCTACCCTCCCCACCCCAGACATTCACACTGGGAGGTATTTGGAGGATGAAGTGATGTCCGGAACTTGTAGGTGGTTCGGCCAAAAAAGAAGTTATTTATCTCCCAGGAACAAGAGCATTCTCCTAGATAACAGTGCTGTTATCACCCCTAAGAAATTTAGCATTCATACAATAATATCATCTAATATACAACCCATATTCAAATTTCCCCAATTGTCCCCAAAATGTCCTCTAAAGCTTGTTTGTGGATCTGAGATACAATCCAAGATTGCATCCTATTTCGCTTCTCTGGTTGCCCCAGACTCCCCCAGTCTAGGACCTTCTCCCTCACCATTTTGTCCTTCATGACGTTGCCATTTTGAAGAGTCC